ATTCCCAAAAGTCATGTGCCCTGCCACAGCACAGATTAATTCTACATACTGCAAAGTCAAATGCTCTCTCACACACTGCCTGACTTGGTACCCTCAAAGTCAAAGAGATCATTTGCTAAAAAGAGCAGAGCTCAGACCTGATGACTTCAAACGCTTGCAACATGAGGAAAATACTCCCCAAAAAAGGGAGTTAGTGTTTTTTACTGTGTTCCTTGAGTTACCTCAAGATCATTAACAATCTCTGTCCCTTTTGGGTTGCCAGACCTGTCAAAGGCAAAATCACAGCAAATTTAGCATAAGGATCTCAATTGTCTTTATTGTGATTCTAGCATCAGGCAATGCTTCATTCCAAAATGGAGAGTAAGTCTTCTTGTTGCCCTTTATTTTTTCTTTTATTTAGGACGGTCTCGCTTTGTTGCACAGGCTGGAATGCAGTAGCCGGATCTCAGCTCACTGCAACCTTACAGGTCCAAGCAATTCTCCTGCCTCAGCCTCCTGAGTAGCTAGGATTACGGCATGCACCACCATACTCAGCTAATTTTTGTATTTTTAGTAGAGATGGGGTTTCAGCATGTTGGTTAGGCTGGTCTCAAACTCCTGATTTCAAGTGATCCACCCACCTCAGCACTCCCAAAGTGTTGGAATCACAGGCATGAGCCACCATTCCTGGCCCTTGACTTGATCACCTTATCATTATTGTCTGTAGTGATTTTTCAGTTGACTCTTAAATTTCTTGAAAACTTGCATCTGATCTGTCTTTCCAATTTTTATACTTCTTTCACTTGTCTAATTATGGTACTTCCTCAAAAATTTTAATAGTGTTGATAGAGAAGAACAAGAATGGCCACCAACCCAACATAAATGGGAATACGGGTTTTTTTTTTTTTTTTTTTTTTTTTTGAGACAGAGTCTTACACTGTCAGGCAAGCTGGAGTACAGTGGCACTATCTCGGTCACTGTGACCACCACCTCCCAAGTTCAAGCAATTCTCCTGCCTCAACCTCCCAAGTAGCTGGGACTACAGGCATGTGCTGTTTTTGTATTTTTAGTAGAGATCGGGTTTCACCATCTTGACCAGGATGGTCTCGATCTGTTGACCTCATGATCAGCTGGCCTCAGCCTCCCAAAGTGCTGGGATTATAGGAATGAGCCACCGCGTCCAGCCCATGAGTACTTTTAATGATTCTGTGATGGTGCCTTTTTGCTTGAGGTACTATTTTTTTAGTTATGTTAAGTAACTAGTCATGTACTTTGACTTTAAAGGTTTTTTTTTTTCCCAGAAGTGAATGTAGAATTCTGTTACATTCTATTTCAGCATCTTACAGAGATTGTCATGTGGTTTTTCTTCCTTGACCTGTTAGTTGGTAAGTTACTGTGTCTTTGGAAAGACTCCCCCTTGGTTGTGGCATTGTAGTGATAACATGCTGCTGGTGATTCCATTTGCTAATAATAGTATTTTCTCCGTAGATCTCATAAGTGAGATTGGCCTGTAGGTTCATGTGTACTTATGATATCCTTAACAGATTTTTTTATATATATAAACATGATTCTGACTTCATAAAAAGTTTAGAAGTTTTTTGGGTTTTGTTTTTTTTTTGAGATGGAGTTTCACTCTTGCCCAGGCCGGAATGTGCAGTGGTGCAATCTTGGCTCACTGCAAACCTCTGCCTCCCAGGTTCAAGTGATTCTCCTGCCTCAGCCTCCCAAGTAACTGGGATTACAGGCATGTGCCACCACTCCCAACTAATTTTGTATTTTTGATAGAGACAGGGTTTCACCATGTTGGTCAGGCTGGCCAAACTCCTGACCTCAGGTAATCCGCCCACCTTGGCCTCCCAAAGTGCTGGGATTACAGTGTGAGCCACCACGCCTGGCCAGAAGTTTTCTTTATTTCTTTGAGGGTTTGTTTTTTTGTTTTTAGAGTCTACAGAACCAGTGCATTCTTTGAGATTTTGAATATATTCTATAGAATTAAACAAAACAGACTGTTCTACTTTTTCTTAATCTGTGACTCCTTATATTTTTTCCGCTTTTTTCTTTTTCTTTTTTTCTTTTTTTTTTAAGACGGAGTTTCGCTCTTGTTACCCAGGCTGGAGTGCAATGGCGTGATCTCGGCTCACCGCAACCTCCGCCTCCCGGGTTCAGGCAATTCTCCTGCCTCAGCCTCCTGAGTAGCTGGGATTACAGGCACGCACCACCATGCCCAGCTAATTTTTTTTTTGTATTTTTAATAGAGACGGGGTTTCATCATGTTGACCAGGATGGTCTCGATCTCTTGACCTTGTGATCCACCCGCCTCGGCCTCCCAAAGTGCTGGGATTACAGGCTTGAGCCACCGCGCCCGGCCTTTTCCGCTTTTTTCTTGATTTGACCTAACCATTATCTGTCTTCCCTCCTTCCCTTCCCTCACTTGTTTTCCTTCTTCCTCCTCCTCTACCAAAGAAACAGCTTCTTCTCTTCTACAGGTCTGCTTACATGTTTTGAAGGCGTTATTGTTCTTGACATGTTCTCTTATCTAATTTTCCATTTCGTCTATGCCTTACTCTGGCTATTTTATTCTGACCTGGCTTTCAATGCACTAATTTCTTTCTTCAACTATATTTACCTAAAATGCTATATATCTATCCAGTCTTACTGTATTTTTCCATTCTGGAACTTGCATTTGATCTTGTACTTCTTGGATACAGTTTTCAATCTAGTCTTTGATTTTCCTAAACATGCTAATTATTATTTTAGAATTCATGTTGATAACTTCACTGTGTGAAACCTCTGTAGGCTTGTTGCTGTTGTCTGTTAACTTCGCTTGTTTTGGTTTTCTATTGTTGCCTTAAGTTCTCGTTTGCCTAGTTATTTTTGATTGAGTGTAAGTCATTGTGTACGAAAATTTTGAGATTCTATGTGGTGTTATGTTTCTCTATAGAGGACCTTAATTGGTTTCTTGAAGAAGAGTAAAAACAACAGCACCTCATATTCAGGGAGTTAAACTCACTCTGCTGGGATTCAGTTCCCAGGTGGTCCAGGTCCAGTTTGCCCCCCTTACTTGAGTGGCATAGTCTTCAGGGACTCACACTAAAGCCTGAGATTCACCATCTCCTTTCTTCTAGGGACTTCCTAGAGGAGCTGTTGTTACCAGTGTAGCATGTATCCTTCCAGGTCTTTTCTTTGAATTTGTATGTATCCATGGGTATATACATGTGTGTACATATACATACTTTTAGAAATGATTTTGTGTCTTACATATTTTAAGTAAATAAAATCATTCTATGTATGATTTTGTAACTCACTTTTCTTGACTTAATGGCATTTCTTGGTGAGCTTTCCATTTCATTACAGATTGAGCTACCTCTTTTTTTGGTGGAGGCAGTTATAGAGTATTTTGTAGAACAAATAAGTAATAGTTTATTTAACCATTCTCTTAGGGACAAACTTGAAAATGTCTCTAGGTTTTTTTCTGTTTGTGCTGAATATTCTTGTATACGCCCTATTTAGATACATGAGGGTTTATAGAATGGTATGAAAAAGTGATTACAGATATATACATTTTTTATTTTAATAAATAGTGTCAAATTGTTCTCCCAAATTCACCAGCAATAAGTGATAGTATGAGTTTTCATACATCAGCCAAGCACAGTGGCTCACACCTGTAATCCCAGCACTTTGGGAGGCTGAGGTGGGCTGATCACCTGAGGCCAGGAGTTCAGCACCAGCCTAGACAACATGGCGAAACCCTGTCTCTACTGAAAATACAAAAATTAGCTGGGTGTGAAGGTGGGTGCCTGTAATCCCAGCTACTAAGGAGGCTAAGGCAGGAGAATAGCTTGAACCTGGGAGGTGGAAGTTGTAGTGAGCTGAGATCACACCGTTGCACTTCAGCCTGAGTGACAGAATAAGACTGTCTCAAGAAATTGAAAAAAAAGAAAAAAAAAAAAGGTTTCCACACACATCCTCAGCAATGCTTGGTATTATCTAATTTAAAAGTTTGGTAATATTACAGGGAAAAAATACTGTCTTGTTTTAATTTTTAGTGAGATTTAGATTATTTTTATGTATTTTTTGAACATTTCTTATTCTGATGTGTTAACACTCTTTCATTGTTTTCTCTGCTGTGGAGTTATTTTTGTTTTAGTAGTCTCGGGTTAAATTATAATTCATGGCAGGGTGCAGTGGCTCACACCTGTAATCCCAGCATTTTGGGAGGCCGAGGGAGGCAGATCACTTGAGGCAGGGAGTTTGAGACTAGCGTGGCCAACATGGCAAAACTCTGTGTCTATTAGGTACACAAAAATTAGGCTGGACATGGTGGCTAACACCTATAATCCCAGCACTCTGGGAGGCCGAGGCGGGCAGAACACACGGTCAGGAGATCGAGACCATCCTTGATAACACTGTGAAACGCTGTCTTTACTAAAAATACAAAAAATTAGCTGGGTGTGGTGGCACGCTCCTGTAGTCCTAGCTACTCTGGAGGGTGAGGCAGGAGAATCACTTGAATCCGGAAGGCGGAGGTTGTGGTGAGCCAAGATTGCTCCACTGCACTCCAGCCTGGACGACAAAAAAAAGAAAGAAAAAGCAACACAAAAATTAGCTGGGCATGGTGGCACATGCCTGTAATCCAGCTACTCGGGAGGCTGAAGCACAAGAGTCACTTGAGCCCAGGAGTCTGAGGTTGTAGTGAGCTGAGATCGCACAATTACACTCCAGCCTGGGTGACAGAGGGAAACTGTCTCAAAAATAAAGATAAGTAAAATAAAAATAAATTACAATTGAAACTGTATCTCAAGCCTTAATCTATGAATGGCTACTTTGATTCTTACAGATATTATACAGTGTGATCAAATTTAAATGTTAAGATAAATATAAAGAATAGGTAGGTACTGTTAAAGAGAGTGTGTTTTTGTTTCTTTCCTGTCCTATCTCGGAAGCTCAGTATAAGTACATAAGGAGGGATAGACATAGGAAAGAAATTGAATTATTATTATTAAAATTTCGTTTTTTCTTAGACAAATAAACCTCAGACATCACGACCCAATCTCATCAAACCAGCTGCCCAGTGGCAAGATCTGAAAAGGTTGGGAGAAGAAAGGCCTAAAAAGTTTAGAGCAGCATTTGAATCAGATAAAAGCCGCTATTTTTCAGTGTATAACAACCCGTTGTTTGATTCTGGGGCACAGGACGATTCTGAGGATGACTACGGTGAATTTCTGGATCTTGGGCCTCCTGGAGTCTCTGAATTCACTAAGCCAAGTGTCCAAACAGATAGAGAACCCAAGCCTGGACCGAGTCGTAACCAAGCAGCAAATGACATTGTCAGCCCCAGATCAGAGCAGAAAGTCGTCATCTTGGAAGAAGGTAGCCTTCTTTACACAGAAAGCGATACTTTGGAAACTCAGAATCAGTCATCCGAAGACTCAGAAACAGAGCTATTATCAAATCTGGGAGAGTCATCTGCTCTGGCAGATGATCAGGCCATCGAAGAAGACTGCTGGCTAGATCATCCTTACTTCCAATCTGTGAACCAACAGCCCCGTGAGATAACAAACCAGGTTGTTCCTCAGGAACGGCAGCCTGAAGCAGAGCTGGCCCGCTTGTTGTTTCAGCATGAATTCCCCGGGCCAGCTTTTCCAAGGCCAGAACCTCAGCAAGGTGGGATTTCAGACCGCTCTTCTCCTCAGCCTGCCCATCCTATAGGGGAGTTTGAAGACCAACAGTTAGCAATTGATGATGAAGAGCCAGGTCCAGCCTTTCCAATGCAAGAACCTCAAGAGCCCAATTTAGAAAACATTTGGGGGCAAGAGGCTACAGAGGTAGATCAAGAACTTGTTGCACTATTAGTGAAGGAAACGGTAAGTTTTATTTTATCAAGTAAATAATTGTAGACATTACATATACTGATTGATTTTTTTTTTTCATTGCAAAAAAAGGAAAAAAGTTTGTATATGTGGACTTCATTTTCTTTAGAGGTATATATCTAGATATACAGAACAGAATAGAAATGCTGAAGACATGAAAATGGAATCAGCCTTTCTTTACTATAATTAACCGTTCAGGAAGCTCTCTGTGATTCTAACTTCATATCATGGTTGTCTAGTGCTGTCATACCTGCAATCCCTTGTTTTTTTCCAGGGCCTTCAATTCACTCCAATTGCAAACCCTTAAAGCAGGTTTATTGAATTACCTAAACCTATCCTGTTCAGTATGGCAGTCACTAGCCCTTGTGGCTGTTTACATTTAAATGTCTTACCATTAAATAAAATTACAAATGGCAGTTTCCATTGGCACCAGTCAGCAGTCACATCTCATATAGCCACATGAGGCTGACAGCTTACCTCATCATCAAGCATAGAGGAGAATGTTTCTGTCATCATACAGAGCTCTTTTAGTGCTAATATTAAGAGTAACACAAGGTATTACATACAGTAGCTACTGTTTGCCTTCAAACAAGTCCCTTAACTCTACTTTACCCAGGTGTTTTTTGTTTGTTTGAGATGGAGTCTCGTCCTGTCACCCAGGCTGGAGTGCAGTGGCGCAATCTCTGCTCACAGCAACCTTTGCCTGTTGGGTTCAAACGATTCTCCTGCCTTACCCTCCCTAGTAGCTGGGATTATAGGCACCCACCACTACGCCCAGCTAATTTTTAAATTTTTTTTTAGTAGAGACGGGGTTTCACCACGTTGGCCAGGCTGGTTTCAAATTTCTGACCTCAGGTGATCCACCCGCCTCGGCCTCCCACTGGGATTACAGATGTGAGCCACTGTGCATGGCCACCCAGGTGTTCTTTTATCTAGCTACTAGATTGTATGCTGCTTGGGGACGCTTATGGGATTGTGCCTTATTTGTTTTTTTATTTCCTTTGCCTAGACAGCTACTCAATATTTGTTGAAACAATAATGAATGGATCTGTAACATGGTGACAGAGAACCAGATCTCGAGACCTTTCTAGACCTTGTCTTCTATGTAGACAGATTGATCTGGGAACTAGTTTTGAACTTGAAGACACACACAGACCTACTTCACAGCCCTTTTCTAGTCGTTAGTCATTTTATTATATTTTTTGCCATCTGTCTTGTATTGCCATTTGAAACCATTCTAGTGAATGAAATGTAAATTATGTTCTTATTTGTTTCTAGGAAGCAAGATTTCCAGATGTAGCAAATGGTTTTATTGAGGAAATAATTCATTTGAAGAATTATTATGATCTGAATGTGTAAGTATACTACCATAGTTTTTTTGTTGTGGTGGTAGTAAAATATATATAACATAAAATTTGTCATTTTAATCATTTTTAAATATACAATTTAGTGTTAAGTAAATTCACATTATTATACAACTATCACCATCATCCATCTCCAGAACTCTTTCATCTTCTCAAACTGAAACGCTGTCCCCATTAAACACATTCCCCATGCCCTTCCCCAGCCAGTGGCATCCACCATCCTACTTTCTGTCTTTATGGATTTGACTACTATCAGGGACCTCGTGTATTTGTTCTTCTCTGACTGGCTTATTTCACTTGGCATTATGTGTTTTTTAGTGACCTTGTTCATTCTGACATTAGTCATATACAGACTGTTTTCTGGATCTTGTGGAATACTGCATGGTTACAGAATTATGAGGCTGAGTTTCTGAGCATTGATACTACCTGTGTTTTAGTCAAGATGTTAAAAGACATTTTCTTCCCTACAATTGTAACAAAAAGTATTCTGCAACCACTCTGTTTGGAGAAATACATGGAAGCGTTTCTTAATTTTTATTATAAAAGGGATAAATATGGGCCAGATCCCAGCACTTGGGGAGGCTGAGGCAAGAGGAGGGCCTGAATCCAGGAATTCAAGGCTGCAATGAGCTATATTCATACACTGCATGCCAGCCTAGATGACAGAATGAGACCATATCTCTTATTAATACATATGCTTTTTTTAAAAGTAAGTTTTCCTGAAGATTATAAAAGGAAAAATAAGTTTCATACTCTTCCCCTTCCTCTGATCTGCAGAGGTGAAACAGTTGTGTAAAAAAGTTTTTTGTTTTTTTTTAAAGATGGAGTCTCGTTCTGTTGCTCATGCTGGAGTGCAGTGGGGCAGCCTTGGCTCACTGAAATCTCAGCCTCCCGGGTTCAAGCAATTCTCCTGCCTCAGCCTCCTGAGTAGCTGGGATTACAGGCGCATGCCACCACGCCCGGCTAATTTTTGTATTTTTAGTAGAGATGGGGTTTTAACATGTTGGTCAGGCTGGTCTCGAACTCCTGACCTCATGATCTGCCCTGCTTGGCCTCCCAAAGTGCTGGGGTTACAGGCATGAGCCACCACACTCAGCCTAGTTGTAAATTTAAACAAAATAGTTCACTAAACACCTTTCCTCAAAGTTCATGTCCCATACTATAACTCTCAGTCAAGGGTGCTGGTGAGTTTCTTCCCTGCTAAGGCTGAGAAGGAAGGGTCCCTTTCCAGTACTTAGCCCAATGTAGGTACTTTTTTTCTAATTTGTACATTGACACTGTTGGAGCGGATAGTGGCCTTGTCTGATCCCACCACCTCTGTACAGAGGCAACCACTGTCATCAGATATTTATTTATTTATGAGACGGAGTCTTGCTTTGTTTCCCAGGCTGGAGTGCAATGATGTGATCTCAGTTCATTGCAACCTCCACCTCCTGCCTCAGCTTCCTGAGTAGCTGGGATTACCAGCATGGGACCTCACGCCCGGCTAATTTTTGTATAGAGATGGTGTTTCACCATGTTGGTGAGGCTGGTCTCAAACTCCTGTCCTCAGATGATCCACCTACCTTGGCATCCCAAAGTGATAGGATTATAGGCATAAGACACCATGCCCGGCCTGTCATCAGATTTAAACAGGACTGCATCCAGGTTTTTTACTGTATTTATCTCTTTAGCCTCTTAATCTCACTGACTTTTTAAAAAATAACATTAACTTTCCCCACCCAGCAGTTTCAAATATAAAAAGTTGAAAGACTGCAATGAATACCCATATATCTACCACCTAGATTATTATCTGACATTCTGCTGTAAAGATTTTTACTTCATCTTAAAAAAAAAAAATGTAACTGTGGACTTGAGAGTTTTTAAGTGGTGTTTTAGATTAGTCACAATCATTTTCTTTTTGATACTGAAATTGTCCCAGATTTGACTAGCAGTGTCTTTTGGTCTGATGCCTTTCATTTTCGAGTACTTCCTTGCTTCCTAGTATACCTTGTTGTCCCAGGCTTACCTTGAATTCCCTGCCCAGAACCTGAAATCATTCTCCAAGATAACCCAGCTTTCTTAGAATGAGGATTGATATTTTTAAACATCTCAGGGCTAGATGTGCTCACCATTGCTACTGGCATATCATCTCTCTAGGTCCTTTCAAGGGACAGACCAAGGAAATATTTTGGGTGGTAGTTGTTTTTTGTTTGTTTGTTTTTGAGATGAAGTCTTGCTTTGTTGCCCAGGCTGGAGTGCAGTGGCGTGATATCAGCTCACTGCAACCTCTGCCTCCTAGGTTCAGGTGATTCTCCTGCCTCAGCCTCCTGAGTAGCTGAGATTACAGGCTCCTGCCACCAAACCAAACTAATTTTTGTATTTTTAGTAGAGACAGGGGTTTCACCATGTTGGCCAGGTCTTGAACTCTTGACCTCAAGTGATCCACCCGCCTCAGCCTCCCAAAGTGCTGGGATTACAGGCGTGAGCCACCATGCCCAGCCCGGTAGTTGTTTTTTAAATCAGAAATTCATACTCATAAGTTCTAATTCAAATTTAACATGAAGGTTTTTTTCTTAATCTTTTTTTTGAGACAGAATTTCGTTTTGTTGCCCAGGCCCAGGTTCAAGAGATTCCCCTACCTCAGCCTCTTGATTAGCTGGGATTACAGACATGAGCCACCACACCAGCTAATTTTTGTATTCTCAGTAGAGATCGGGTTTTACCATGTTGGCCAGGCTGATCTTCAACTCCTGACCTCAGGTGATCCACCTGCCTCAGCCTCCCATAGTGCTGGGATTACAGGTGTGAGCTATGCACCTGGCCTTTCCTTAATCTCTATAAATTTTACTTAACATACTTCTTAGTAAGGCAAAACCGTTAAACACATAGGCTACCAGGCCATAGATTGGTGATATTGGTCGGTACTGGAAATTTTGTAGCTATTTCCTGTCTTGTGTAACTTCTCCCACATCTTCCATGTCTCTAAATCTACCTCTTTGCCTCTGAGATACATTCTGGATGATCTCTTCAGAGCTGTCTTCTAGCCCACAAATTTCTCTTCGGTGGAGTATAATCTACTTTTTTTTTTTTTTTTTTTTTGAGTCGGTGTCTTGTTCTTTTGTTCAGGGTGGAGTACAGTGGCATGAACTCAGCTCACTGCAACCGCTGTCTCCCGGGTTCAAGCGACTCTTCCTGCCTCAGCCTCCCGAGTAGCTGGGACTACATGCATGTGGCACCATACCCAGCTAATTTTTTGTTTTTTTTAGTAGAAATGGGATTTCGCCATGTTGGCCAGGAAGGTCTCCATCTCTTAACCTCATGATCCGCCTGCCTTGGTCTCCGAAAGTGCTGGATTACAGGTGTGAGCCACTGCATCCAGCCCAAGTGTAATCTCCTTTTAACTCATCCACTGTGTTACTGTATTTAAGTTATGATATTTTAGCTTTAAATTCTCTTGATTATTCTCCTAGAGTTTTTCCCTTCGCCTGTATTTTTAATCCTTTTTATTTCTTTAAACAATAACATACCTTCTCTTCTTTTTTCTTTTAATATTGTTAACAAGTAGTTGGTATTTTCTCAAACAATAATATAGCTTCTATGTGAGTTTGATTGTTCTGATGTGTTAGGTTCTTGGGAATCGTATTCTGTTGTTCCTGCCAGCTTCCATGGTGCCTTGCTCTCTTGTGTGTTTTCTAAGTTTGACTGTAAGTTCACGTGTTGAGGTCTTGATAGAGTTGGTTTCTTTAGAGAGGAATTGCTTTCACTTCTTGCAAGTCCCCAGGGGCATGTTAAGTAAAATTTATAAAGATTAAGGAAAGGCCAGGTGCATGGCTCACACCTGTAATCCCAGCACTATGGGAGGCTGAAGCAGGGGGGTCACATGAGGTCAGGAGTTCAAGACCAGCCTGTCATGCTTCTTTCAAGTCCCCAGGGGCAGTGTTAGTTTGAAACTACTTTAGATTCCTGTCTTGAAGTTTTTGCATTACTCAAACTTTTTTTTTTTTTTTTTTTTTTTTTTTTGAGACAAAGTCTTGCTCTCTTGCCCAGGCTGGAGTGCTGTGGTGCAATCTCAGCTCACCACAGCCTCCATCTCCCTGGTTCAAGCGATTAGCCTGCGTCAGCCTCCCAAGGAGCTGGGATTATAGGCATCCGCCACCACACCCAGCTAGTTTTTGTATTTTTAGTAAAGCTTTATTTTTTACAGCAGTTTTAGGTTTACAGCAAAATTGAGCAGTGATGACTACCTTTTTACAATGAAAAATTTCTTGTAGACTTCCAGTCATCTAAAAAGCAACTTATATGTGTGAATTGCTTTAACAGTTCTTCAACAGAACTGAATTAGGATGTTATTTTTTTGTAGTTGTTAACTAGGCATAAAATAGTCTAGGTGACATATCTTTGATAATTGGCTGTGTTTTTCATATATTTATTTACTAATTATATCTCCCTTGCATGTCAGTTGTTTACTTCTCTCTTTGAATTCCTTTTTGGGCGGGGTAAATTACTTGTTTAATTACAGAAAATGTAAATGATAGAAAACGTATAAACTTAGCTTATTTATATAATAGTGATTTGAATACCAGATACCATGTTTTAGTATTTTTTAACAACTTAACCTCATATAAATTGAGTATACTTTATTTTAATTTCCCTCCCCTTCTATGAATGAACATCATGTTTTATGTATCTTCAAGACTGTCTATAAAACATTATTAAAATATAATCAAATTGACACCCGTTACAGTTCTGTTCTCCTACTTTCTAAGTCTTATAGATGTACTTATTTTTAGGGACTTGCTGACACTCTGTGCTTTTTGTGTCACTCAGAAGCAAACATTGATCCTTAAACACATAAAAATTCCCATGAAATCCAAAAAGCAAGGGAATGTACAGTAATTGTATTGCATCTTTTCAAGCCAATCTTGTTTTCCTGACACTGCTTTCCTTTCCGTTAGTCCCTGGGCTCCTAGGACAAGGTTAATTTCACAACTAAACTAAAATGTTAATGTAAACTGGAAGTGAGGCCCAAAGCTGAGTTGCGCAGGCTGGGATTTTGTTGTACCTCAGTCTTAGTTGCTTTATGTGCGTCTTTAAATGACCTTCAGATGGAACCATCTGGCCTTTTCTGTCACCAGGCAGGAGTGCAGTGGTGCGATCTTGGCTTACTGCAACCTCCACCTCCCAGGTTCAAGTGATTCTCCTGCCTCAGCATCCCAAGTAGCTGGGATTACAGTCATGTGCCACCACACCCAGCTAATTTTTGTATTTTTAGTAGAGACAGGGTTTCACCATGTTGGCCAGGATGGTCTCCATCTCTTGACCTCGTGATCCTCCTGCCTCGGCCTCCCAAAGTGCTGGTATTACAGGTGTGAGCCACCACGCCCAGCCATCTGGCCACTTTAAGCAGGAAGGGCCTATTCATCAGAGAACTTCACATGGCAGGTAATCTATCCTGGCTGGTTAACTTAGACCTTTGACTCACATGTGGTCAACTTCAGTTGGATGAAGGCAGCAACAACTCTCAGAGAGTGGCAAGGTTGAATTACTAGCCTGACTTACTTTTGCAGAAGTGCCTTCTCTAGATCTGCTAGCATGTCAAGTCAGCTCAAGCATGAGATCATGTGAAGAGCTGGGCACATTGAAGTCCAGCAGGCTTCCCCACTGCTTTTGCCCCAGAGTGCAGGTATTAGAACAGAGGCTGCCACTTGTTTCTATAGAAGAAAAACTTTGTCCTTCATTTTCTTACTTCCAAATGTCACTTAACCTTCAGAAGAATTCCATTGGTAAGCATGCTGAAGGGATTAAACCAGAAGTGAATTTTGACAGTTTCTAGTGAGAGCTTCTGATTTCTGCTGTGTGGAACTTCATATCTGTAACATTTCAGTATCTGAAGTTCTTAATATTGTTGAAAATACGAATTGGGAAGAGATTACCCTCTCAAACATTTTTTTTTTTTTTAAGAAATATATACTATTCCACCTGTATATCATATGGAGGTGTACTTATATATCGTGTACTTGAGAAAACACATAAAAACAGACAGTTGTAAAGCTAGTCTGTGTCTGGTTTGTAACCATGTTGAATATGCACACGTAATGAGTTGTCTGGAACTCAGGCCTTTCCCCACAGATGGGATTTTTGCTGGTGGCTAATTCTCAGGTGAGCCTTCAAAGATTTGCATAACCTCAGTGCACACTAGTAAATTCTAGGACAGAGAATTAACACTGATGACAGTGGTTTTAAAGGAAAATGTACCAGAATTCTTGTCTCTCTGTAATAGGAGGAGGGTGCTGCTTTTTTTCCCTCTTTGGGCCTCTGATGTTGTGTTCTGTAGACTGGGCAGACTGTGGTGGTAGGGAAAGCGGGAGCTTAGAGATAAAAAGCATATGGGACTCCTGGAAATAACAACGAAGGGAAATGCATTGAGATGTCAGGATGAGGGAGAGGGCTTTGACATGGGGCCCTGGCAGGGGTTGCAGAACAAATGAACTTTTCCAAACCATTCCCCAAACACTGGCACCTGGTGAGAAAAGGAGCTGGAGCTGGGCACTTTTTCTCTCCCCTCTTTTCTGCCAGACCTCCTACCCTACTATTATAGACCTTACTATTGACATCTGGCAAAAGAGAACTGGTAAAAAGGGAGATGTGTGAGAATTGCAGGTGTGACACCTAGGGGAGTCATCCTAGGAATCTACTGGAATAAGAGGAAGAAGTAGAGAAAAGAGAAAGTTCCCATTACCCTCTGAGCAAAGAAGCTTCCTTGCTACTGAATGTGGCTAGAGCTGCACCCCACCCACTCTGTCTTCACTACTGTGCAGTCATTCCAAGGTGGTTGTCTGATTTGACTGTGAAGAGCCTGGATAGTTAATATTTGTTGGGTCTGGGTAATGATAACATCATTGTGTGTTATCTCACGCTGTATATCCTTACTTTGGAAGTATTTCACAATGATAATAGACAAAGCAAGTGGGTTTGTTGTGAAGAGTCTGTTCATAGGAAAACATGATCTAGTCATCATTCTGGCTTAGCAGTTATTAGCTAAATAAACCCAGTATAACTCAGATGGCTCATAGAGCTTTATCTTACCATAGAGTTTTATGTCACCATAGGGGTATAAAAAGTATTAATGAATTAACAGAAGGTCTTTTATATTTTATTTATTTATTACATCTCTTAACAGACTTTTTTATTATAAATGTGAATACACAGTTTCCCACTTCTTATTTGTTCATAGTTTTCTTGACAAGCAGTAACTACTTTTACAAATTTTCCAATTTCATAGTTTAACCAATAATAGTTTCAGTAACTTCATTACATCAACACCCAGCTGATAGATAAAAGGATTTTGTTTTCATCAGTATGTTCATTGCTTTTTAAATTTTTTATCTTACCCAAAGATAGGAATTCAGTGCAGTTGTTTATTTATTTGTTTAGTTTTTTTGGGCTACCAACATCTTAATTTCTTGATAGGCCAGTTGTAATGTGTGACTAGGGACTCTATTCTTCAGACATTGCATTTGAAGCAATGGGTAGGTGTGGGATTTGGAAGCAGTGTGAAAGTAACATGATTTGTTTTTGCAGACTTTGTAATTTTCTTCTGGAAAATCCAGATTATCCAAAGAGAGAAGATAGAATCATTATAAATCCCAGTAGCAGTCTGCTGGCCAGCCAAGATGAGACAAAGGCAAGTGTTGTGTTCTTGTCTCGCTACCTGGAAATGCCCTGCTTTTTTTGTTGTTATCTCTGTGGGAAGAAAGTGGTTTGTTGGGACAAGTTTTTAAAGACTAGCAGAAGGATATAGGATTTCAGAATATATATATAGTTCAGTGGGATCTCCCAATCTGAGCCACTTTGAATTCTGTCTTTAACTCCTACCTTTCCATGTAATTCTTATCTTCCTTTTCCCACAAAGAATTAAACGAATCTTCCATATCTTTAATCCTACAAAGCAAATTCCTAAAGCTAAACAACTGGCCAGGATTCTAACATTTTATTAAGAAAATTTTCAAACCTAAAGAAAAGTTGAAACTTTTACATTTATTACCTATATACCCAACACTGGTACTAATAAAAAGTTAACAGTTTACTGTATCCTCTTTATCATACCTATGTCGTCTGTCTATCTGTTAGCACATCTTTGTTATGTTTCATTTCATTAAAATGTGTTTCAGAGTAAATTGCAAAAGCATCAGTACACTTCTCTGTAAACACTTCAGCATACATATCATTGCCTAGAGTTGAATCTCTTCTTTCTTTTGATGTGAGATCTGTATACAGTGTATATACCTGTTTAACCCAAATCTCATATCAAGATGTAAACAGTTTGGCTTTTAAAAACTGTAATCATTGTCATTATTTGTGATTCAAGCTGGTATTTAGTGTGTTATATGGTAAGGTATGGTTGAGAACTAACTTTATTAAGATCTATTGCTTGATCTTCCAATTCCACACAAATTCTTCTACTATCTCTTTTACATGTTCTATAACAGGAAAAAAAGTAGTTGTTTGTAAATATTTTATGGAAAGAAGGTGGCTGAAAGATTGGTTTAAATCCCCAACTATATTTCTTCACGAGTTATAACTAGTAAAACTAGTCTGTAGGCTCCAGATAAGTTTGTTTAAGCTCTCTGAGCCACCGTTTTCTCATCTCTCTTATAGGGCTGGTAACTTCCTTATAGAGTAATTAGAAAAAATGAGTTTATTTTCTTCTACATGTAATTCTTAAAATGATTTTCCCTACATGAGAAATGTACTGTCTGGCCTCTAATTTTATGCTTCTCTCTCATTTCAGTTGCCTAAAATAGACTTTTTTGACTATTCTAAGTTGACTCCTCTAGACCAGCGCTGCTTCATCCAAGCTGCTGACCTCCTCATGGCCGACTTCAAAATGCTCAGTAGTCAGGACATTAAGTGGGCCCTGCATGAGCTTAAAGGACACTATGCCATCACCCGAAAGGTGCTCTACATCTTCCCATGATAACAGAATGAAAATTTTAAGCTTGTAGAAGTTGGGATGGTTTATGATTGCAGAGAGCTCTAAGGAATTTGTTAGGGTGAAGATAGGTAAATAGGTATTTGCGGATCAGGAAGGGCTAAATGAAAAGAAATGGTAGATGAGAAGCAGAGAAGTTCTGGTTTGACCATAAAAACACAGAGGGTAATACATTTTACTGTGGATTGCAGGAGTAGGAAAGATGTGTTCTAATCTTGCTCCTTTCTGATTTGCTTTCTCACTTGGGACAAGTCACACTACCATCCATCCCCCAGGTGGCTCAGTTATCAGTGAAATGACGTAAGGTCTGTAAAGAGTTCAGAAACTCAGCAGTACCCCCAGAAGAGAGTGGGCAGCTCCTGACAGCTCCCAGCACTTTGCCCCCAGGATCCTAAAATAGATAGCACTTAAAGGCCTCTTAAGGGTGAGAAGGGTGCTGGTTTGTGGTGGATAACAGACATGTGTCTTCCCATGAAGCACAGCACACAGTGCCCACTTTGTAGCTGTGTCCAGAACAGGAGCACATGCACCAGCAGAGACTTTGGCTTTCTCCTCTTGGTCACCGTTACTGCCATTAAATTCTGTTCTCCTACTGAAATTCTTGTGATTCTCAGCAACCACTGTGATTTTCCTTTGTCCAAAGGGAAAACAAATGTGGAGTTATCATAGTGGTTATCTCTGGGTCTTACCTGTAGGAAGGTAAGACCCAAGGACTGTGTGGCTCATGCTAAGGTCTAGGCCAAGCCCCTTCCACCTTTTTTTTTTTTTTTTTTTTAAGACGGAGTCTCATTCTATCATCCAGACTAGAGTGCAGTGGCGCGATCTTGGCTCACTGCAGCCTCTGCCTCCCTGGTTCAAGAGATTCTCCGGCCTCGGTCTCCTCAGTAGCTGGGGCTGTAGATGCACACTACCACCCCTGGCCGATTTTTGTATTTTTAGTAAAGATAGGGTTTCACCACGTTGGCCAGGCTGGTAAGGCTCCTTACCCCAGGTGATCCTGCCAGCTCACCCTCCCAAAGTGCTGGGATTACAGGTATGAGCCACTGCACCTGGCCAAAAAAAGACTTTGAGAGAAAACTAGAGGGGGTTTGAAAGGGTCAAACAGGTGACAACCTGAGGTAGATCAAGGGTCTCCCTGAACAAGGGACCTTTAATCACAGACCCAAGTAGGAGTTTGGTGAAAGGGGGTGTAGAAGATGCTAGTGTCATTTATTGGGTTGAGGACTAGTATAAAAATCTGGTTTGAAGGGAAATAATCGTGAATTCCATCTGGGAAATATTGGTTGCCAATGTGCTAAGAAGGGCCTTGTGAGTAAAAATAATTCATTGGCAGGTTGACTGGACTAAAAAGGTTCGAAAATACAGACAGTAGATAAAATTTTTTTTTCGGTATCTTCTTGAGTTTTATGGTGATAGGACTTTGAGAGTCATCAGCATATGGAAAATAATCTCACCAGTCAGATTGAGGTAATCAGGTGAGAAGAGAGGACTCCTGACATGTAAAGACCAAGCAGAGGAGACAGGCAGACAGGAAGAGGGGAAGTTGAGAGAGTGGAGCAGTCTATATCATCGTCGTCATTATTGTTACTGTTATTTAGAAACAGGGTCTCTCCCTGTCACCCAGGCTGGGGTACATTGGCACAATCATGGCTTGTTGCAACCTTGACCTTCTGGGCTCAAGCCATCAGATATGCACTGCCACACCTGGATGATCTTTTTATTTTATTTTTTGTAGAAATGGGGTCTTGCTAGATTGCGCAGGCTGCTCTTGAACTCTTGGCCTCAGGCTGTAATCCTGCCTCAGTCTCCCAAAGCACTGGGACGCTACCATGCCCAGCCTACTTTATTAAATACTGCTAAGAGTGTTTACAAGATGAGGACTAGAATGCAGATGGTGGACTTGGTCACTCGATAATAAGCATAGATGAGTAAGTACAAAGGCAGGGCAGATGCCAGGTTAGAGACGGCTGGAAAGCTTGTGTACATGAGTGTGAGGCAGTGAAGCAGCAGATAGCTCCTTCTTTGATAAGTTGCTCTACAAAGAGGGGGAGAAGAAAGAGGGGCTGGCATTGAAAAAGGGATGAGAAGAGAGTATTTTCATTTTTTTAGGATGGCAAAGACTGGAGCACTTTTTTTTTTCTTTTTTTCAGACAGAGTCACACTCTGTCGCTCAGGCTGGAGTACAATGGTGCTGTCTTGGCTCACTGCAACCTCCAGCTTCCAGGTTCAAGTAATTCTCCTGCCTCAGCCTCCCAAGTAGCTGGGATTACAGGCACCTGCCACCAGGTGCCTATAATTTTTTTTTAGTAGAGATGGGGTTTTGCCATGTTGGCCAGGCTGGTCTCGAACTCCTGACCTCAGGTTATACATTCATCTCAGCCTCCCAGAGTACTGGGATTACAGGCATGAGCCACTGCACCTGGCCTGACTGGAGCACATTTAAATGCTGATAAGAAAGATGTAAGAGGGAGAAGCTGAAGGTAGGAAAGAAAATGAATCCTCACTAGTGGGAGGATTTTGAACTCCAGCATGGTGTTGAAGGGTGGGATGGATATAGATGCATGCAGAGAAGAGTGTGGGAGAAGCAGATTTGGGGAAAGTGAAGAGGAGCATTGACCAGAGAAACAACATGGAAGATTTGCCTATAGAATGGAACTCACCAGCCCATTGTCATCTGATTTTAACCTGTACTAATGCAAAGACAGCTTGGACAGTTTTGTTTTATTTGAGACAGGAGGATATAGTGCAGTGGCACCATCTCGGCTCACTGCAGCATCGCCTCTCAGGTTCAAGTGATTCTCCTTCCTTAGCCTTTGAGTGGCTAGGACCACAGCTGTGCACCACCACACCTGGCTGTTTTTTTTGTATTTTTAGTAGATCTGGGGTGTCCACATGTTGCCCAAGCTGGTCTCAAATTCCTAAGCTCAAACGATCCACCCCACTCCGCCTCCCATGGTGCTAAGATTACAGTTATGAGCCACTGCTCCCAGCCAACAGATTTTATTTTCCCTGGTCACTTTTTAACCTGTCAGTGTTTTGCTTCCACCACTGTACCAATTTATGAAAGTCAGAGAAATGAAAATAAGGAAATGCTGCCTATTTATTTTGCCACTGCCTTTTTTTTTTTTTGAGACGCAATCTCACTCTGTTACCCAGGCTGGAGTGCAGTGGTGCAGTCTCAGCTCACTGCAACTTCCCCCTCCTGGGTTCAAGTGATTCTCTTGCCTCAGTAGGAGTAGATGGGATTGTAGGGATGCACCACCACGCCTGGCCAGTTTTTCTATTTTTAATAGAGACGGAGTTTTGCCATGTTGGTCAGGCTGGTCTTGAACTCCTGACTTGAGGTGATCCACCTGCCTTGGCCTCCCAGAATGCTGGGATTACAGGCATGAGCTACCACGCCCAGCTGCCACTGCCTATTCTTGTTAGCCATGGTGGGAAGAAAGTTGAAACTATGTTAAATGGCATTTGGGGATTGCCTGTTTCATGTATTTTATTTTCCATTTATAAAGGTAATCTTTCCCTGTCTCAATTTTTAGGCCTTTTCTGATGCCATTAAAAAATGGCAGGAGCTATCACCAGAAACCAGTGGAAAAAGGAAGAAGAGAAAAGAAATGAATCAGTATTCTTACATCGATTTCAAGTTTGAACAAGGTAATGCAAACTGTGTTGCTGGCAGTGTGTAGCTGCAATGCTGTACCTTTTCTTCCCATAGTCAGTGAAGGAAGCCGTGCTGCAGGTGTCTGCCGAGCATCTGACCAGGCCGGTCTGAGGAGTGACTGACAGGGACTACTTTCACAGCACATCAGAATTTTTAGAAAGTGGCTGCACTTTTTGGCTTCCTTCTTCATACTTAAGATAAACTATGACAGAAAAATTTTGTGTGCTGTTAGAAAATTCATGTGTGGGAAGGTATTTGGGTATGCTGTTAAGCTTGGGGAATAAAACTGGTCTTGAAGGCTTGGTGATAATTGGCTGTATTATTAGGTAAAAACTACCCGGACTTAGGAATAAGGGCTTACTGCAGAGGGTCACTTACCCACCTGAGAGAATGGCTAATTAACCACGTTTCTCCAAAATTCTATCATTCTTATTGATGAAATCACTGCTGGAAACCCTTTTGAAGAGGTTACTTCAGGTCTAATCCCCAAAAATGTAAACTTGTTGAGTTTTATAGCAGATTTTATCTGAGTTGCTTGTATCCAGTAAAGGAGTTTACTACAACATTTTCTAGAGATCATGCCATAAACAGGAACATTTCCCTTTCCTTTTCTCTTCATTTCTGTTACATGTGTACTTAATTACTGCAGTTGATTTCAGGTATGACTAAGTGGAAACTTGGGTGACTGTAAAGTTGGAAAGAATTTGAATTTACTATGAACTCTTCAGTAGCTAAAAGAAAATCCCTTAGGCTTTGACTCTTGAGGTTGCTAAGCCAAACTTTGCAGCATTGCTCTGCTAACAAGACATTCTCCCTGGCCTGTGGCAGAATATAGAACTAGGGACAGTGTGCAGGTGGGTTTTCATTCAGCCAAATTTACCCAGAGGTCACAACAGGCATCCTTGGGCATAGCCATACAGCATTTGTGTCTGACTTCAGTGGTGGAGAAAGTACTACTTTGCAAGATAGTTTACTCCCTTGTTGGTCAACTCTGTCTTTTAGACAGTTCTTACTTTATATTAAGTCAGTATATACTTTCCTCAAATGTCCTGCCATGGTTGTAGTTCTTGCCTTCCAGCACTGTACAGTGGTGGAATCTGGAGAGACAGATTCTGGCTGTTGCCCCTTTGTCAGCATGACTGCCGCCCCTTCGTCAGCCTGACTGCCCTTCTCCCCTTCCCTGTGTGCCCTTCTCTAGCTTGTCAGGGTCTTTTTTGAAAGTGGGGTGTAGAAGACGGGACATCATATTCCACGTGAGGTCTGCTCACATTCAGCCTTGGTCTTTTCACCCACATTGCTGTCAAGTCATACACCTCTAGGTTTTGCTGCATCTCACATTTTTCCCTGTAAACTTCATTTTATTTGGTTCAGTCCCTTGTTTTAGGAATAGCTCTTTAATACAGATGCTGATTCTTAAATTATACTTAACAGATAATCTTTTTTTTGAGACCGAGTTTCACTTTTGTTGCCCAGGCTGGAGTACAATGGTGCGATCTTGGCTCACTGTAACCTTCGCCTCCCGAGTTCAAGCAATTCTCCTGCCTTAGCCTCATGAGTAGCTGGGATTACAGGCGTGTTCCACCATGCTTGGCTAAATTTTGTATTTTTAGCAGAGACAGGGTTTCTCCATATTGGTCAGGCTTGTCTTGAACACCCAACCTCAGGTCATCCGCCCGCCTCAGCCTCCCAAAATGCTGGGATTACAGGCATGAGCCACCACGCCCTGCCATTATCAGATAATCTTTAAGGACCCTGGAAGTATGATATAGAAAATATACTTGATTTATATTAGTAGTTTAATGTTTATGACTCACACTTAGCCTTTTTTAACAGCTTTTTATAAGGACATGGGCTAAGAATCCCTCAGCTATTCCAGGAATCCCATTTTTCTCCTTTTCAGTTTGTTTTCTATCTAAGCACTACTCTTTGGGCTATAATTGGTTGACTCGAGTGAAAGAGAGTTCTCCATGCTCTGTCCTTTTTATGGTCATGCAGGAAAATGCATTAGAGGGAGTTTTGTAGACTTAATTGCAATTATTTTAAAAATAAAGGACTGAAAATAACTCTTACTACTTGAACATGATAAACTACAAAAAGAACTGAGTAAAGACGAAAGAAATAGGTGAAAAAATTTTAATTTATGTCATTGATCATTATAGTAATTAACATTTATTGAGCACTTAACATTTATTGAGCACTTACTATGTACCAGGCACTTTTCTAAGTGCTTTAATGGATTAACTTATGTTTCAAATAGCCTTATGAGATATATGTGCTGTTATTATCATTTTACAGAAAAAACTGAAGCACAGAGAGGTTAAGTAACTTGCAAGATGTTTCATAGCAAGTAGCTGACCTGGGAATCTGACTTCAAGGCTTACTCTCTAAACATATGCGTTTCTATTCTCATAATACCATAAACGGTGGGGTTTTTGGTTTTGGTTTTGATTTTTTTTTTTTTTTTTTTTTTTTTGCAAGGAGTGGACAGAGTCTTGTTCCTGTCACCCAGGCTGGAGTGCAGTGGGTATGATCTTGGCTCACTGTAACCTTCGTCTCCAGGCTCAAGTGATTTTCCCGCCTCAGCCTCCTGGGTTGCCGGTTTTACAGGTGTGTGCCACCACGCCTGGCTAACTTTTGTATTTTTAGTAGCGATGGGGTTTCACCGTGTTAGACAGGCTCGTCTTGAACTCCTGACCTCAGGTAATCCACCTGCCTCGGCCTCCCAAAGTACTAGGATTACAGGCATGAGCCACTGTGCCAGGACCCAGAAAGTGGTTTTCTGAAGAAAAAGTTTAAATTAATGAGAATGAGCAAGAGAAAAGGAGAATCAAAATAAAATGTATTGGGAACCAGATGGTAAATGTTAATATCAAGAGATGACCAGTAAATTGAAAATCTGGATGAGATAAAGTTTTCTAGTAAAACATACATTGGCCAGGCAGTGTGGCTCACACCTATAATCCCAGCCTTTTGGGAGGCCTCAAGACTGGTGGATCACTTGAGCTCAGGACTTCAAGACCAGCCTGGACAACATGGCAAAATCCCATCTCTACAAAAAATACAAAAAAAATTAGCTGGGCTTAGTGGCACCTGCCTGTATAGTCCAAGCTCCTCAGGAGGATGAGGTGGGAGGATCGCTTGAATCCAAGAGTTGAGGCTTCAGTGAACGTATGAATGTGCCACTGCACTCCAGCCTGAGCAACAGAGCAAGATTCTGTCTCAAAAAAAAGGAAAAAAATATATCGTAAATTACCAAATCAGCAAGAGATATACAAAACCTGAAGAGATGAATTATATATCGGTTATTTGTCATTCTGCTATCTTTTATTCTCATGTTATAATATATTGTGGTGAATATAGCCTCTATTCCTTCAGTCCCTTATATATTTGAATGCTTTCAAAATAAAAATGATTGAAAAACATTCAGCACATTTGCACCCACCAGAATGGCTAAAATTAAAAACTGATGATAGGTGTTGGTAAGGACATGGAGAGACTGGAACTCACATGCATTGCTGATAGAGGAAGGGTGTAAACAGGTACAACAGAAAACTGGTATTATTTTCTAAAGCTGAAAGTCAGCCTATCCCATGATCTAGCAATTCCCAGCTACATTGTGAACATGCATTTCACCAACAAATAGCTATAAGCAGCACTATTCAGATTAACCCAAAACAATAAACCCATGTCCTCAGTAGTGAAATAGATAATAAATTGTGGTATATTTACATAGTGCACTTCTAACAGGTAGTAGATGCCTTCCAATTGGAGCATAAACATAGGGAAAAAACGAGAAAGATCAAAGAATGGGTGGTAGGTTGGCAAATGATATGAAGCTCAGTCTTTCCAAATGGTAGAATGTGATACAGAAATCATGAAACATACCACCAGAGAGAAGGTGGAGGATGAGGCCTGGAAAAAAGGACATGGCTGGCCCAGATTCCTAACACACACTTGTCTGCATGCTTTTGCATTGTCGTATATCTTCTAGGTGACATAAAAATAGAAAAGAGGATGTTCTTTCTGGAAAATAAGCGGCGACATTGTAGGTCCTATGACCGGCGTGCTCTCCTTCCAGCTGTGCAACAAGAGCAGGAGTTCTATGAGCAGAAAATCAAAGAGATGGCAGAGGTAGGAAGATGTGCTCTGGTCTTGGGATGTGTCTCTGGGATTCTAGTTTGCTCTAAGGGTTTAGTTAGTACAAAACTGTCTTTTAAGATTTCCCTTTTCTTTAGCGAGTGATTAACTTGCATATATAAAACATTTTTAAAATTTTTAAAAAAAGCTGAGTTTTGTCATAATACTTATGTTTGTGGTTTCATAAATCAGATTTATGTTAGAAAATAGAAAATTTTAATTGGAGCTTTGTGTATCTCTTTCACCTCCTCCCTCAACCTCTAATGGAGAAAAACCAGAAAGAGATTCCATTTATCTCTTAAATTTGTCTAAATACAGGACCAAATGTGCAAGTCAGCTGGAATGTATATATTGGTTGTTTAATTTAAAGTATTTTCTAGACCAGTGGCTCTCAAAGTGTGACCCAGAGATCCCTGGGTTTCCCAAGACTCTCTCAGAGGTCTGGGAGGTCAAACCTTGTAACTATGCAAGACATTACAGTGACCCTTAAACAACTTGAGGATTAGGAGTGCTATCCCCCTGTGCAGTTGAAAGTCTGCATATATTGTTTGACTGCCCCAAAACTTAACTTTGAACAGCCTCCTGTTGACAGGAAGCCTTACCCATATAACAGCCAATGAACATGTTTGGTATGTTTTGTGTATTACACGCTGTATTCTTACAATAAGGTAAGCTAGAGAAAAAAATGTTACTAAGAAAATGGTAAGGAAAATATACTTACTATTCATTAAATGGAAGAGTGGATCAGCATGGGAAGGTCTTTATCCTCATGGTCTTCACGTTGAGTAGACTGAGGAGGAGGAGGGGTGTGTTGGTTTTGCTGTCTCAGGGTGTTAGAAGCAGAAGAAAATCAGCACATAAATGGGTTCCCGCAGTTCACACCTGTGTTGATCAAGGAAAACTATTTGCTTTTTCACTGTATTGAATTTGTACCAGCAGAACAAAAGCAGTGTTGCCTTGGCATGTATCAGTCCAGTGTCACAGAGCCATCCTCATAATCATTGTTTTCTTTACCACCATGCTCTTAACAGTTTTAAGACATACCAGTTTCACCTAAAAATGTCTTTGATAGGCCAGGCAGGGTAGCTCACACCTGTAATCCCAGGCGTGCTTTGGGAGGTCAAGGAGGGCAGATCACGAAGTCAGGAATTTAAGACCAGCCTGACCAACATGGTAAAACCCCGTTTCTACCAAAAATTAGGTGGACGCCTATAATCCCAACTACTGAGGAGGCTGAGGCACAAGAATCACTGAACTCGGGAGGCAGAGGTTGCAGTGAGCCGTGATCAGGCCATAGTAGTCCAGCCGGGGTGGCAGAGCAAGACTCCATCTGGGCGGGGGTGGGGGGGAGTCTTTGATAAAGCAGTAAAAATTATTTTACCACATTTTGACCCTTGAAAACATCTTTTTAATATTCTGTGTAATAAAATGAAATGCTTCTGCCACATCCCAGGATATGAAGCTTGTCTTACATCCAGGTATGAGGAAAGTGCTTGTGCAGCTGAGCCACAAAGCAGCTGCATTGACCACTTTTTTTTTTTTTTTTTTTTTTTTTTTTTGAGACAGAGTTTTGCTCTTGTTACCCAGGCTGGAGTGCAATGGTGCGATCTCGGCTCACCACAACCTCTGCCTCCTGGGTTCAGGCAATTCTCCTGCCTCAGCCTCCTGAGTAGCTTGGATTACAGCACGTGTCACCATGCCCAGCTACTTTTTTGTATTTTTAGTAGAGACGGGGTTTCACCATGTTGACCAGGATGGTCTCGATCTCTTGACCTCGTGATCCACCCACCTCAGCCTCCCAAAGTGCTGGGATTACAGGCTTGAGCCACCGTGCCTGGCCCTGGCAACTTTTTACTTGGAAAAAAGTGACTGACAGAAAAACTATGATTATTCAAAATTAGGTATTTGGCAGACATTTTCTCAAAAATTAAGTGATCATTTTTGACCAAAATTCTAGATTTTTAAGCAGAAATTAGAGTTTATTATTTTCATTCATCTGTTACAGAATCACATTCATTAATATCACTAATCTTATCAGATAAGTACTTAAAGAATTGGCACATTGATGGATGTATTTTAATAGATTGTAGTCATTTATTTTTGGTGATGTTCACATTGTCCCATCTCTGGCCAGTGGCTACCCCTTCAAGTTAATCTCTCTTTACCTGACCCCAGTAGTCTCTGACAACATCCTTGCTTTAGGGCACAGCAAGGTGACCTTGTTTCAACTTCTGCTTTCTCTGACCTGGACTCAATGATTTCTCCAAAGTGCCTTCTTTGCTTTTTTTTCTTTTCTTTTTTGACAGAGGATCCCCATGTGTCACCCAGGCTGTAGTGCAGTGACAAAATCATGGCTTATTGCCTCAACCTCCTGGGTTCAAGCAATCCTTCCACCTCAGCCTCCCGTGTAGCTGGGACTACAGGTGTATGCCACCACACCTGGCTAATGTTTTTTGTATTTTTTTGTAGAGCCTAGGTTTCCCCATGTTGTCCAGGCTGGTCTTGAACTTCTGGCCTTAAGCTGTCCTCAGCCTCAGCCTCCAAAGTGTTGGGGTTACAGGCATGCACCACCATGCCCTGCTAACTTTATTTTCTTTTCTCTATGCTAAAAATCTTGGTTCTTAATAACATGAATAACATTCTTGTCAGATTATATCTGAGAATATAAAATTAAAATATTTTAAAGTCACTTGAAATAAGTCTTGGTGCTTATGCCATTAACTTGATAAACAAGATTCTGGCCAGGTATGGTGGCTCACGCATGTAATCCCAGCACCTTGGGAGGCCAAGGCAGGTGATCACTTGAGACCAGGAGTTCAAGATTAGCCTAGCCAACATGGCAAAACTCTTATCTCTATTAAAAATGCAAAAATTAACAGAGCATGATGGCACACACTTATAATCCCAGTTACATGGGAGGCTGAGGCAGGAGAATCACTTGAACTTGGAAGGTCAAGGTTGCAGTGAGCCAAAATTGTGCCACTGCTTTCCAGCCTGGACAACAGAGCAAGACTGTCTCAAAAAAAAAGGGTGGTGGGACTGGGCACAGTGGCACATGCCTGTAATCTCAGAACTGCCAGGTGTGGTGGCTCACACCTGTAATCCCAGTACTTTGGGAGGCCAAGGTGGGCCTCACCTGAGGTCAGGAGTTCGAGACTAGCATGAACAACATGGAGAAACCCTGCCTCTACTAAAAATACAAAATTAGCCGGCTTGGTGGCACATGCCTGTAATCCCATCTACTCAGGGGGCTGAGGCAGGAGAATCGCTTGAACTCAGGAAGCAGAGGTTGTGGTGAGTCAAGATCATGCCTTTGCGCTCCAGCCTGGGTAACAACAGCAAAACTGTCTCAAAAAAAAAAAAAAAAAGTCCCAGCACTTTGAGAGGCTGAGGCGGGTGGATCATGAAGTTAAGAGTTCAAGACCAGCCTGGCCAATATGGTGAAACCCTGTCTCTACTAAAAATACAAAAATTGGCAGAGTGTGGTGGCACGAGTCTATAGTGCCAGCTGCTTGGGAGGCTGAAGCAAGAGAATTGCTTGAACGTGGGAAGCGGAAGTTCTAGTGAGCCAAGATCGCACCACTGTGCTCCAGCCTGGGAGCAACAGAGTGAGACGCCATCTCAAAGAAAAGGGACGGGGGGTTCATGTTTCAGTTTATTTTGAACTTTGAGAGAATTTTTTTTTTTTTTTTTTTTTTTTTGATACGGAGTCTTGCTCTGTCACCAAGCTGGAGCACGGTGGCGCAGTCTCGGCTCACTGCAACCTCCATCTCCCAGGTTCAAGCGATTCTTCTGCCTCAGCCTCCTGAGTAGCTGGGACTACAGGCGTGTGCCAAACGCCCAGCTAATTTTTTTTGTATTTTTAGTAGAGACAGGGTTTCACTATGTTGGCCAGGATGGTCTCAACCTCTTGACCTCGTGATCCACCTGCCTCAGCCTCCCAAAGTGCTGGGATTATAGGCATGAGCCACCGTGTCCGGCCGAGAATTGTTTTTTTTTTTTTTTAACCTAATTTTGTAAAAATTTTATTTCTGAAATCCAAACTATAAAACAAGGAATATTCAGAAAAACCAATCTATTTTATCCCTTTCTCCCACTTTCCTTTTTTTTTTGTTTGTTTGGGTTTTCTTTTTGTTTTTGAGACGGAGTCTTGCTCTGTCACCTAGGCTGGAGTGCAGTGGCAGGATCTCGGATCTCGGCCCACTACAACCTCTGACTCCCGTGTTCAAGCAATTCTTCTGCCTCAGCCTCATGAGTAGCTGGGATTACAGGCATACACCACCATGCCTGGCTAATTTTTGTATTTTTAGTAGACACAGGGTTTTGCCATGTTGACCAGGCTGGTCTCAAACTCCTGACCTCAAGTAATCTCCCACCTTGGCCTCCCAAAGTGCTGGGATTACAGGCATGAGCCACTGCACCTGGCCCTTTACTTTGTTTATATGTAACCATTATCGTTAGTCTCTGGTTTATCTTTCCTTATTTTATGCAAAAGCAAATACGTATATGTATTTTTATATACCCATCTTTCTTAACCAGTTAGTAGCAGACTTTTCCAGGCATGGTAGCTCATACCTATAGTCCCAGCTACTCAGGAAGCTGAGGTGGGAGGATCTCTTGAACCTGGAAGGTTGAGGCTGCAGCGAGCCAAGATCGCACCACTGCACTCCAGCCTGGGCAACAGAGTGAGACCGTGTCTCATAAATAAATTAATTTAGTTTAATCCCAAATGGAGGTAGACTCTTCTGCAACTGCATTTTTCATTTAACCTTGCATCCTGGCAGTTACTCTACAGCAATTCATAGAGATTTTTCTCTTTCCTATTTGAAACTGACTGGTATACTTTTTTAGGTAATATACCACAGTTTATTCAGTCATTCCCCTAATGATGGACTTTTAGGGTTGTTCCCAGGTTTTCAATATTATAAATAGTGCCATGATAAATTTGTGCATACATCATTTCCTGTTTCTGGGTGCATCTTTGGGCTAGACTCTTGGAAGTGGCATTGATGACTCTGACAGCTTCTGGCCAGTGTGGTTGTCCTGCTTTGCATTCTCACCAGTAGTAAGTGAGGGTGCCACACCACCTTTCCAAAGAAGTCTGTTGTGAAACTTAGTTTTTTCTTTTGTTTTGTTTTGTTTTTGTTTTTTGAGAGAGTTTCAGTCTTGTTGTCCAAGCTGGAGTACAATAGTGCAATCTCGGCTCACTGCAGCCTCTGCCTCCCAGATTCAAGCTCTTCTGCCTCAGCCTCCCGAGTAGCTGGGATTATAGGCACATGCCACCACACCCAGCTAATTTTGTATTTTTTGTAGAGTTGGGGTTTCTCCATGTTAGTCAGGCTGGTCTCAAACTCCTAACCTCAGGTGATCCACCCACTGCAGCCTCCTGCTTGCCTCAGCCTCCCAAAGTGCTGGAATTACAGGTGTGAGCCACACGCCTGGCCAAACTTAGTTTTTACCTGTTCAACTTGTTGTTTGTTGATGCCATTCTTTGCTATTCAAAGTGTTTTATCTCTCAGCCTTTTCCATTACTTGTTCTACAGTTTCATACTTAAGACAAAATTGTTTTATATTTTCTAGCTCTCTGATCCACTTAAAATTTATTCCCAGGTGACTTTCTGAACCGCTAAACTATATAATTGAAGAGATGACAACACTGGAGTTATGTTTATGGAAATAAATACTAAATAGTGTCATCTTTACTAAATTTATGTCTGAATGTGTGCTTTATTTGTTCTTCAGCATGAAGACTTTTTGCTTGCCCTGCAGATGAATGAAGAACAGTACCAAAAGGTAGTTTGAAATCTCACCTTGTTTATTCTGGGCATTTTCATGGGCTGTTTTCTCTTACCATGTTCTATCAGCGTTTTTTATGGCAAATTTGTTTTTAGATAGCCTCCTGTTGATCTGCTGAGTTTGCAGTTCTGCCAAGTTATAGTCAGCTACATGATGTAGTATAGTCACTCTTATACCACACCGAATCAAAATTGAAGAAAGTTAATAGATATTCCTGTTAAAAATCATTAGCTGACATTTGTCAGCCTCATAAAGAAAAGTTGATAACTGAGATACCATTTAGAGTTAAAAGAAAGAGATATGTCTAACCTCAGGGCAAGATGGGTTTCTGTATGGTGTCTGCCGCTCTCATATAGTGACCTTTTCTTATTTTCTTTTTTTTTTTTTTCAGATGGAGTCATGCTCTGTCACCCAGGCTGAGATGCAGTGGCACAGTCTTGGCTCACTGCAACCTCTGCCTTCTGGGTTCAAGTGATTCCCGTCTCAGCCTCCCGAATAGCGGAGACTATAGGCATGCGCCACCATGCCCAGCTAATTTTTGTATTTTTAGTAGAGTTGTGGTTTCACCATGTTGGCCAGGCTCATCTCAAACTCCTGACCTCAGGTGATCCACCCGCCTTAGCCTCCCAAAGTTATGGGATTACAGACATGAGCCATTGCATCCAGTCAGTGACGTTTTCTAATGTGGTATAAGAATTGATTGGTGGGTGGGCACCATGGCTCATGTCTGTAATCTCAGCACTTTGAGAAGGCCAAGATGGGAGGATTGCTTGAGCCCAGGAATTCAAAACCAACCGGGGCAACATAGCAACACCCCATTACTAATAAAAATTTAAAATAAATAAATAAAAGAATGGAGCCAGGTGTGGTGGCTGATACCTGTAATCCGAGCACTTTGAGCAGCTGAGGCAGACAAATCACGAGGTCAGGAGTTTGAAAACAGTCTAGCTAACATGGAGAAGCCCTGTCTCTATTAAAATACAAAAATTAGCTGGGCATAGTGGCAGGCACCTGTAATCCCAGCTACTAGGGAGGCTGAATCGAGAATAGCTTAAACCCGGGAATCACTTGAACCCAGAAGGCAGAGGTTGCAGTGAGCCGAGAAACGTGCCTCTGCACTCCAACCCAGGGGGACAGAGTGAGACTTATCTCACAAAAAAAAAAAAAAAAAAGGAAAGAAAAGAAAAGAAATGGGTTGGTGATTGGATCAGTTGCTATACCTAATAAAAGTAGCCTGGTGCATTACTTGACGTTGCTGCTTTAGTTAGCTTCAGTAATCCCTTAAAATAAAGCGCAGACTTATATACGACCCCTTCACACTCCTCATGACAAGAACAAAATTCAACTTTTGAAAGCTTTTTGGATAACATCTTTTATGCTCCTTGTTACTCCTTTTTATAATCAGATTCACATTTGAGTACAGATGTTGTAGTTCTCTTTGCACCATGGAATTGAATATGATAGCTTTATACAAAGAATTACTCTAAAGAATACCCCCCAAAAAAAACCTCATAAAAACCTCTCTATCTTTAGGTATGGATTAATACTGTGCTAGTTTCTTGAGCTAGATTTATAAGGCATGTAACAGAGCAGAGTATCATTGTTTTATGGCCCCTAAAATGTATTGATTTTTACCTCAGAATTCGTGTGGGAGATGGGAGAGAGTGAGGATGGGAGACAAGGCTCCCTCTCAGCTTGAGTGCAGGACATTTCATGTATGTTTTTTGACTGCTTGCAGGACGGCCAGCTAATTGAGTGCCGCTGCTGCTATGGGGAATTTCCATTTGAGGAGCTGACACAGTGTGCAGATGCTCACTTGTTCTGCAAAGAGTGTCTCATCAGATACGCTCAAGAGGCAGTCTTCGGATCTGGAAAGGTAAGAACTGTGTAATATGTCCCATGTATATAGGAGACATTCCTGGAGTCTGAGGAGACTATGTTGATAGATAAGTGTAAGTGCCTCTTTCAGGGTAAGGTAGAATTCTGCCGGTACACTTAATGTGTGTGTTACCTGATTTGCATGATTATGTTGGTTCTCTAAGCACAGCAGATTTCTTCCCAGGGAATGGTAGAATTCTTCCATGCCCCCATTCCTAGCCCAAAAGGAGCACTTATTTCACTCACCTTCTTATTCATAATCAAAGTGAAGGTTAACTCAAAAAGAGAGAACCTTGCAGCCTATTGGGTTAAATATATATTAAATTAACATAACTTTATACAAGATCATATTTTTCTCTCCAAAGTCAGTTTCTCTGGACACCAGCATAACAGAGTATGGCAGTTTTACATTGTTTTATACCACTAAGTTCATGGTATTTTGTTCCAGCAGCTATAGAAAACCAACACAGTGATTAAGTAGATGACTTTTTTTGGGAGGCTGAAGCAGGTGGATCACTTGAGTTCAGGAGTTCAAGGCCAGCCTGGCCAACATGTAAAACCTTGTTTCTACTAAAAATACAAAAATTAGCCAGGCAAGGTGTTGTACACCTATAATCCCAGCTCCTTAGGGGGTTGAAGCACAAGAATCACTTGAACCCGGGAGGCAGACACTGCGGTGAGCCAAGGTGGCACCACTGCATTCCAGCCTGGGTGACAGAAAGAGACTGTCTCCAAAAGAAAAAAAAAAAGATGGCCTTTGGTGCAGTGGCTTACACCTGTAATCCCAGTTCTTTGGGAGGCCAAGGAGGGCAGATCACTTGAGCCCAGGAGTTTGAGACTGGCCTAGGGAACACGCTGAAACCCCATCTCTACAAAAAAATACAAAAATTACCTGGGCATGGTGGCATGCATATCTGTAGTGTAGCTACTCAGGAGGCTGAGATGGGAGCCACTACATTCCAACCTTGGCAACAGAGTTAAGACCCCATCAAAAAGCTGAGGGCCGGCCGGGCACGGTGGCTCAAGCCTGTAATCCCTGCACTTTGGGAGGCCGAGGCGGGTAGATCACGAGGTCAAGAGATCGAGACCATCCTGGTCATCATGGTGAAACCCCGTCTCTACTAAAAACACAAAAAAGTAGCTGGACATGGTGGCACAGTGCCTGTAATCCCAGCTACTCAGGAGGCTGAGGCAGGAGAATTGCCTGAACCCAGGAGGTGGAGGTTGCGGTGAGCCGAGATCGCACCATTGCACTCCAGTCTGGGTAACAAGAGTGAAACTCTGTCTCAGAAAAAAAAAAAAAAAAAAAAAAAGCTGAGGGCTTTTTTACATCCCCAACCATACATAAGACACATCAACATCTGTCTGGCTAGGTACGCTGAAATGCCTATCTTAGGTCTAATCATGAGACGAATCAAATTGAGAGACATTCTACAAACTTACTGGCGAGTACTTTTCAAAAGTGTCAGAGCTATAAAAGACCAAGAAATACTGAGAAACTCAGGTTAGAAGAGACTAGGGAGACATGATGACTAGATGCCTTGTGGGATCCTGGGCCAGAAGAAAAGACATTAGTGGAAAGACTGGTCCCATTAATGGTATCAGGTCATTGTCAACTTCCTGGTTTTGACATAAGATGTTAACATTTAGAGGCCAAGAGCAGTGGCTCACACCTATAATCCCAGCACTTTGGGAGGCTAAGGTGGGCGGATCACGAGGTCAGCAGTTTGAGACCAGTCTGACCAACCTGGTGAAATCCCTTCTCTGCTAAATAGACAAAAATTAGCCAGGTATGATAGCAGGCACCTGTAATCCCAGCTACTGAGGAGGCAGGAGAATTGCTTGAACCCGGGAAGTGGAGATTGAGTGAGCTGGATAGCACCACTGCACTCCAGCCTGGGTGATAGAGCAAGACTCCGTCTAGGGGAAAAAAAGAAAAAAAAAGATGTTAACATTAGGGTAGGCTAGATGAGGAGGATACAGAAACTCTGTACTATTTTTGTGACTTTCTAAAAGTTTAACATTATTTCAAAATAAAGTTTCTGGCTGAGCATGATGGCTCATGCCTGTAGTCCCAGCACTTTGGGAGGCCGAGGTGGCTAGATCACAGGATCAGGAGTTCAAGACTAGCCTCACCAAGTTGGTGAAACCCCGTATCAAGTAAAAATACATACATTAGCCTGGCACAGTGGCGCACAGCGGTAGTTCCAACTACTCGGGAGGCTGAGACAGGAGAATTGCTTGAACCTGGGAAGCAGAGGTTGCAGTGAGCTGAGATCACGCCACTGCACTCCAACCTGGGTGACCTGGCAGGACCCAGTTCTCAAAAAGTTAAAGTTTTTGTTGTTTCAAAGAGCATGACCTTTGGAGTCAAGTAGAATGTATTGGACCATGCCCACCCCGACCATACCAGCTCTGTGATCTTGAGCAAATTAAATTCCTTATGCCTGTTTCTTCCTCTGAAAAATGGAAATAATCATAGCATTGTTTTGAAAGCTAAATGAGGTGATGGATTTAAAGAACTTACTGTTTGACACGTGGTAAATGCTTCATTTTAACTAATTATTTTTCACTGTTGTCTTTTTCAATTTGTTTTCTTTGGTGTCTGTCTTCCGTGGGAAGCATTCCTTATGTCTGACACTTTTTATTCATGTTAAAGAGCTGTTTGAAAGCTGTGTGAGTAGTGGGGCTTATAAACCAATGAGTTTGACTCTAGGTGCCTAGGAGCCAGTTAACTTTTATGTTATGAGCCTGAATGACCCTACAGTCTCTTCCCTGTGGTAATTCAGTCTGCCTTCTGCATAGTGGGTGTGGGCCTGTTTTCCAACATTCTGGAACTAAGTGGGAGGAAGGACCTGGAGAATTGTCTGTTCATTTTGCAGACTTCATTTCAGGCTGTGACTTCAGGCCACCCTTCAGCTCTGCTTTCCTCTGTGACTGGTTCCCAGGCCAGAGCCTCATGGTCCAGTTGTTCAGGAAATGTTCTTCCTTTCTCTCTTTCTGAAGCGGTTAGGAACTAGAGGCTCCACCCATCTTCCTGTTGTCAGTTTATTACTTTGAGTCTCCATCGCTCCCATTTAGCTCTGCCTTCCAGAGGTTCTCCAGCTTTCTAATATCTGTAGAGGGGAACAACTTCTCCCCAGTATCTCCTTTTTAGACCCTAAGCTGTGGGCTTCTGTGTCTGGTCTGCTAAGTCATTTACCCTTCCTCCACTTTCCATCTTTATGAATTGTGATTTGGGCTGGTAGAGGTCATCTAGTGATATCAAAGATAAACTGGATTTTTGTTTCATGGTTTCCTCGATTTAAGTGTGATTTCTCGGAGAAGAGCAGGCAAAGATATCTTTGCTCTGCTTTCTGTCTCAGGATCTGTTTTTAACCACGGATGCTTTTTATTTTTCTATAAATGGCATTGATTTTTTTTCTTTGCCTGTTCACCTTATTCTAGTCGGAGCTCAGCTGCATGGAAGGCAGCTGCACGTGTTCGTTCCCAACCAGTGAGCTGGAGAAGGTGCTCCCCCAGACCATCCTGTATAAGTACTATGAGCGAAAAGCTGAGGAGGAGGTTGCAGCAGCCTACGCTGATGAGCTTGTCAGGTTGGTTCTCAGGCAGAGTGTGTTACCTGCCAACCCTTCCCCATTGTGAAAACTACCTGGGCACTTGCATCAGATGATGAGAATTCTGTCTGTCTTCCAGGTGTCTTGGCATTTCTTGCTGAGAAATAAGATTATCAATAATATTTTTTTAAATTTTTACCCCTCAAAACCATTGAGTAACCAGAAATTCTATAAATGGAAAAATCTGCAGCTCAAACTTTTTTTTCTTTGAGATGGAGTCTCACTCTGTTGCCCAGTCTGGAGTGCAGTGGTATGATCTCAGCTCACTACAACCTCCGCCTCCTAGGTGCAGACTCATGCCTCAGCCTCCCATAGCCTGGATTACAGGCATGTGCCACCATGTCTGGCTAATTTTTGTATTTTTAGTAGAGGCGGTTTCACCATGTTGGCCAGGCTGGTCTCAAACCCCTGACCTTGATCCGCCCACCTCGGCCTTCCTAAGTGCTGGGACTGCAGGTGTGAGCCACCATGCCTGGCCTGCAGCTCAAACTTCTGTCTACATATCTTGGCACCCCATAATCTTCTGGCCCATAGATACAATCATGGTGCCCTGGGCTAGAGGGAAATTTGTATATGCAAGGAGTTCTCAGTAATGCTGGGACTTGTTTATTGAGTGATTTGTACTGAGTTAGGACCTTGAGTGGTGCTTAGGTTTCCTGATAAAAACCAGCACAAAGAAGAGGCTCAATCTGTGTTTTAAGGAAAACTAAGGAGTATAAAAGGGATGTGAATGGCCAGCTCAAAACTCCCATCTTCATATGAACAGCCATTTGGAGCTGGAACCAAATCAGGCTTTGATGTTTGAAGTAATGTCACTTGTGCTGTTCTGACTCTAGGTGCCCCTCCTGTAGCTTTCCTGCTCTGTTGGACAGTGATGTGAAGAGGTTCAGCTGTCCTAATCCTCGCTGCCGAAAGGTAGGGAGGCAAATTTTTTTCTAGGTGTATATTGAATTACGGTATTATGGGCTGCCCTGATGACCCAAATATCTGCTGTTTATCTGACTGCTGATGTATAAGAAGGATTTGAGTGCTTTCCTTTTCATAAGCAAATGAAGATGGGTACTTTGTAAGTAATGGTTGACGTGGTTACTGAGATGATGGGAGCCACTCTGGATTCCTATTTCATATCCTCTTCTCATAAGGACAGATGCTATAATGTAAAGTGGAAGTGTTTAGTTTTTTTCCCCACTGTGTCAACATTTTGCTTGCTCTTTTCGCTACCTGTGCTCAAATACTACCCCCACCCCCCCACACACACACATACCCCTTTTACCATCTTCAATGTCCAAGCAACAGTTCTTTGATTAAAGAACTGGGCATCATAGTGGCATCTCCATCACATCTGGTAGGTTATTTATTTGACTGTTCTTCTCATAAGAACTGACTATATCAGGTAGGAACAGAGCTATCTAGGCACATTACTGTTAGAGGTCTTTCTTCCCTTTAACTTGGCTCCCACTCTGTGAACCAAGAGTGTCTTAAAATTTGTCAACTATTTAGAAGCCACTTAGAGTTTTTAGTGAATACTAACATCCACCTACACAAATACGTTTTAAGCCATTTTTCTAAAATTACATGATTAGAGTTGAACAATGCAATAGCTTTGCCTTAGGGAGAGTAAAAAAATTAACGTAGAGATTAGAAAAGGAAGAAGAAACTAAACTAATAGATCAAAACTTTAATTTCTTTTTTCTCAGCATTAATATTTCTAGCCATTTTGTATGTTCACACCCCAGGCTGTTGCTATAACAATTATCCCAACAGTCACTGGTATCTTGCAACTCTAAGAAAGCAGAATGCTAGGCTGTCCCTTGTATGCTTCCAGTGGGTCGGGTACTGGACTGCCTGGGGAGGTGATGCCTGTGCTAAGACACAGCAGATAAGGGGGAAGTTGCCAAAGGATGGAAAGGGTAGAGGTAGAGTGGAGATGGAGAAATGTTCTCAGCCCCAGGAGTGGCAGCAGCATGGATGCTTACTGGTAGTAGCAGTGTCAAGGAGGCTTATAAGCTGAGTAGGGGCAGTCTCATGCAGAGCCTTGAGCACTCTCTCCTGAGGTGGGGAGAGGTAAAATATCAGGAGAGTCTACTTGGCTATCAAGTAGTCCAGGTTAGAAATGTACAGTGCTGCATGGCTGCTTAGGTCTTCATGATTTGCTTAGAAGGAGCTGGGAACTACATTTTCTGGTAAGGTTTCAAATAAGATGGCAGATATTTGGACAAGTGAAAGTGCTTATGTACAATTAGGAAGGCCAAAGAAGAGAAGAGACCATTATTCTCTGAAGACTTTTTTTTTCCCCCCCAAAACAGGATGTCACTCTGTCATCCAGATTGGAGTATAGTGGCACAATATCAGCTCACTGCAACCACCACCTCCTGGGTTCAAGCAATTCTCCTGCCTCAGCCTTCCAAGTAACTAGGATCAAAGGCATGTGCCACCACACCTAGCAATTTTTATATTTTTAGTAGAGACAAGGTTTCACCATGTTGGCCAGGCTGGTCCTGAACTCCTGACCTCAAATGATCTGCCCACCTCAGCCTCCCAAAGTGCTAGGATTACAGGCATGAGCCACCATGCCTGGCCTGAAGACATTTAAAAGCAGCCTGCATTCCTTGCCTGGTGGCTCACGCCTGTAATCCTAGCACTTTAAGAGGCTGAGGCAGGAGGATCTCTTGAGACCAGGAGTTCAAGACCAGCCTGAGCAACATGGTGAGACTCTCTCTCTACAAAAAAAATTTTTTAAACTCAGCCGGGCATGGTGATGTGTGCCCGTAGTCCTGGCTACCTAAGAGACTGAGGCAGGAGAATCGCTCGAGCCCAGGAGGTTGAGGTTGCAGTGAACCATGATTGCACCACGGCACTCCAGCCTGGGTGACTGAGTAAGACCCTGTCTTTAAACGAAAAGATTAAAAATGAAAGCCTGAGGGCACACATGAGTCTGGAACAGCATCTAGTGAGTGTTACAAGAGTGTCAACTTGGGGTGTTGGTGGGAGCTTGTCAGGGCCCCTTAGGATCCCAAATAGGAACACCACACATATTGTCGTTTCTATCTGTGGGAGGAGTATACATGCCCTGCTGAACTTGGAGGTGGCCATGTAGCTTCTTTTGGCCCATGAAACTTGACTAAATAGGTCACTTGCAGAAAAAGCCATAAAGGCATGTGGTGGGGAGTAATGTCAAGATGACAGACCCTCCTTTTCCCATAGAAATACCAGTTCAGGCCGGGCGTGGTGGCTCAAGCCTGTAATCCCAGCACTTTGGGAGGCCGAGGCGGGTGGATCACGAGGTCGAGAGATCGAGACCATCCTGGTCAACATGGTGAAACCCCGTCTCTACTAAAAATACAAAAAAATTAGCTGGGCATGGTGGCGCGTGCCTGTAATCCCAGCTACTCAGGAGGCTGAGGCAGGAGAATTGCCTGAACCCAGGAGGTGGAGGTTGCGGTGAGCCGAGATCGCGCCATTGCACTCCAGCCTGGGTAACAAGAGCGAAATTCTGTCTCAAAAAAAAAAGAAATACCAGTTCAACAACAGCGTAAGTTCCATTTCTCTCTGTGGGAAACTTAGAAACCAGTTACATCAAAGGCTGGAGAATTTGTGATGCTGGCTTTCCTGAGTTCCTCCCCTGGCATAGCACCATATATATGATAGGGAGGAAACTCCCAACTCCTGGCATCTCCCTGGGAAGGGAAAAGAAGACTGGAACTTACATCTAATATTCTGACCTTTCAGGAGGGTACTCAAGGAATTGGTTTCTGTCTTGTCTCACAGGAAAGGGCACCAGTTGGGGGCCACTGAGGACAAATGGGATGGTAGAACTAGTATGTACTAATTCCTCATTGCCCACTCCCAGCTCAGCGCAGAACGAGCGGAGGAAAATTCCCATCTCTCTGCTTCCCTCAGGAGGGAAGGAGTTGGAGCGTGAGTCCAGCATTCTAGGTTTTCTGGAGCCCGCCCAAGACTCTGGTTTCTGTCTCACTTGATGGAGCAGTGCTGGGACCTGGTATGGTCGAAGTCCCTGGAGGCTGCTGAGAACAAGAGAAAGCTGTACGGCTTGTACTGCTCCAGAGGACCCCATGGTACAGTAGGCAGAGTCCAGTGCACCTCAAAGGCTGCTTCTTGGGTCCAGGGGAAGGGAAGAGTAGAGCATGTGTCCAGCTTTTAGGCTTCTCAAGGGGCTGCCTGAGGGACTGGCTTCTGTCTCACCCAATTCAGTGCTGGCAGAACCCAACCTACTCTAGATGTCTGGGAGCTGCTGAGGCAAAAAAAAAAAAAAAAAAAGCCTGAGCACTTACATTAGCCTATAGTTTAGCAAAATCTTCTTGCACAAAGCCTATTTTAGAATAAAGTATGAGTATCTCATGTAATTTATTGAATACTATACTGAAAGTGAAAAAGAGAATGATTGTATGGGTGCTTGAATTACAGTTTCTACCGAATGTGTATCACTTTCACACCACAGTAAACTCAAAAAGTATAAGTTAAAGCATTGTAAGTTGGAGACCATCTGTATGTGCACCCAACATTAGTGCACCCAACATTAGTGCACCCAAATATGTGAAGCAAATACTGATACCTGAAGGGGAAAATACCAACACAAAAATAGTAAGAGATTACAGTACCTCATTTTCAGTCATTGTTAGCACCACCAGACAGTTTAGTAAGGAAACTGCTGACTTGAACAACACTGTAGGCCTAACAAACACGTACAAAACGTTCTAGCCAGTAGGGACAGAAAACACTTTTTCTCCTCTAGTGCACATGGAACATTTTAGGGATAGAGAATATTAAATCATAATAGAAGTCTTAACAAATTTAAGATCAAAATCATATTAAGTGTCTTTTCCAGCCACAAGGGAATGAACTTAGAAATCACGAACAGCAAGAAAATTCACAAAATAAGAGAATAAAGAACACTGTTCGGGCATGGTGGCTCCTACCTGGAATCCCAGCACTATGGGAAGCCAAGGCGGGCGAGTCACCTGAGGTCAGGAGTTCCAGACCAGCCTGGCCAACATGAGGAAACTCTGTCTGTACTAAAAATACAAAAATTAGGGCCTGGCGCGGTGGCTCAAGCCTGTAATCCCAGCACTTTGGGAGGCCGAGGCGGGTGGATCACAAGGTCAAGAGATCGAGGCCATCCTGGTCAACATGGTGAAACCCCGTCTCTACTAAAAATACTAAAGATTAGCTGGGCGTGGTGGCGCATGCCTGTAATCCCAGCTACTCAGGAGGCTGAGGCAGGAGAATTGCCTGAACCCAGGAGGCGGAGGTTGCGGTGAGCCGAGATCGCGCCATTACACTCCAGCCTGGGTAACAAGAGCGAAACTCCGTCTCAAAAAAAAAAAAAAAAAAAAATACAAAAATTAGCTGGGTCTAGTTGTGTATGCCTGTAATCCCAGCTACTTGGGAGGCTGAGGCAGGAGAATCACTTGAACCCAGGAAGCAGAGATTGCAGTGAGCTGAGATTGTGCCACTGCACTCCAGCCTGGGCAGCACAGTGAGACTCTTTCTCAAATACATAGACACACACACACACACACACACGAGACTGTCTCAAAAACACACACACTGAAAAGTTTTTTTCACTAAGAACAGGAACAAGGCAAGGATACCCACTTTCACCACTTGGGTGCTGCATAGCACTGGAAGCTCTAGCTAGAGCAATTTGGCAAGAAAAGAAAAAGCATCCATATCCATGAGTTTCACAGATAACATGGTCTTACACACAAAAAAAATTGTTAGAACTAATAAATTCAGCAAAGGTACAGGATACAAAATCTGCATATAAAAGGGAGCTGCATTTCTATATACTAGCAAACACTCCAAAAAAGAGAAATTTAGAAAATCCAAATTTATAGTACATCTAAAAAGAATACTTAGAAACAGCCAAGGAGTGGAGAAAGACTTATACATGG